GCGAATCACGAATGATGGTTTCTTCCAAATGTTTGAATTTCCGCAAAGCTCCAACAAATGTAAGAGAAATGCACGACGACACGACGACATCAGTTTGCAAGGAAATATTGGGATTGCAGAAAGATTTCTAGCGAATCTAGAAAAATTAGGTAAACGCATTTGCATGCGTACTATTCTTTGAAACTGGACGTGCCAGAGAATATGAAACAGTAAGCAACATGAGATAAAAAAGAAGCTAAATTCAAATTGACAATGACGTACCTATCATCCAACAACGTTCTGTAATTATGCGTTGACAAAACCTCAGGATGAGTATTGTCATTGACAAGTGATGAGATAAAGTGAGTTAGCTGACTATGTTCCAACTGCAGTTTCTCTCTAATGACATCAAAGACAACGAAGAGAACTCTCCGCGTCAACGGTTCAGCCTAAATTTGTAAATTTGAGCTTGTTATTTCTAGTAAGTTGTGAGATAGGCTAGTTACCTCAGGATCGTCGCAGAAGTCGAGCATAACCAGTAAACCGAGAGCAGCAGAACCGTAGCCATGGTCGGTTCTCAGGTCTCTCAGGTTTTGCGAGAGGTTCATTATGTCTGCATCGTCTACTTCCTCCTCTAAAAAAAGACAAAGGCGGGTAGATGCCTAATATAATCAAAAAGACCGTAAATGAGAAATGTGGATAAGGATAGACAGAAAAAAAAATACTAACTTATGTATGTGACAGATCCTTCAACCTCTACGCAATGAACTCTACGCCGATTCCTCTTTTCTTGCACTCGGTGAATAAACTTTAACCATTCCGATATTAGCACATTATAGAGAACATCTACGATGGAAGCTGCAAAAAATTCGTTTAGCTGCTAATAGAAGAACAGAATTGCTTTGTATGAAGAACAGGACTCACGCTCATCTTCAAAGACCACACCGCGCATTAGATCCATTCGTTGTTGTTCTGTGAAAAATGTTAGTGGTAGAGTGGCTAGTTGACGAATGGCAACGACGCGAACCTAAACGAAATGCTTTTTT